GCCAGACCTTATCACCTGGCTGATAATGCCGGGCTGGGACCTGCCGGCGATTGGCATCCCTTGGCCTGGGTCTGGGAGGAAACGAGGAGGGCTCTCCTAGCCCTCCTCCAGGCACGCTGGCACCTTAGGGCAGAGAGATGGGCAGAAGGGACCCTGGATTCCCTCTCCTCAATGGAGAACTCTGGTGGCTGAAACCCATACACAATGTAGAAGGGGGAGAGCCTGGTGGAGCTGAAGGGTATGGAGTTTATAGCATGCTCCACCCAGGGAAGATTAGAAGCACACTTAGTGGGGTCGGAATAGAGGATGAGACGAAGTTCAGCTTCAACCTCCTGGTTGAGCCTCTCCGTCTGGCCATCGGTTTGGGGGTGGAAACCAGAGGAGAGGCTGACTGAGATACCCAGCATAGCGCAGAACTCCTGCCAGTAGCGGGCCTCAAATTGGGGACCCATGTCAGAGACAATGTCTGAGGGCAGACCATGGAGACGAAATACCTGTTTAGCCAGGATGGAGCCCATCTCCTTGGCAGAGGGGAGTTTGGGCAATGGGACTAAGTGGACCATCTTGGAAAAGCGGTCCAAAATAGTAAGGATGACAGAGTTCCCATCAGATATAGACAGACCAGTGACAAAGTCCATAGATAAATTGGCCCATGGCCGGGAGGGCACAGGTAAGGGCTGGAGGAGACCTGACGGGGGGCGACGGGAGACCTTAGCTTGGCTACAACGGGTACAGGCAGCAACAAACTCATTAACATCCTGCTGCATTAATGCTGCAAGTAAATGTTGCAAATTCAGGACATTTGTTCTCCGGCGTGCCTGCTGCTAGCATGTTCTTGTTCTTCTGTGTGTCTGTTGCTGATAAATCTCTCTCACATTCGATAAATAGCTTTATCAATTAGTTAGCTATATTCAAAAGATCTGCTTTAATTTAGAACAGATGCATCGGCTCTGATGAGGGCAGAAACCAGGGGGTTAGACAGACGGGACTGAAAGTCTCTGCTCAGTTGGGTTTCCTGATCTGTCTGGTGAAATGGATAGATCTAGATAGATAGAAGCTGTGTGATCGGCAAAGTAAGATTAACCGAGTTATTTGGATGATTGGAATCAAATATCTGCCTGATCAAAAGCGATTTTGATTCCATCCACGCTGCTAATCTGCACATTTGACACCAGAAAAACAGAAACTGTGACGTGGGGATAATCCGTCATAAACGTAATTCCACAATGGTTCCTAATTAACATTTATTTGTGCACCCAGAGACGGAATAAAAGGCTGGTCTCCTGAGAAGAAGCTCTGGAAGTTAAGCTAACTCTCAATAGAAAATAAATATTATGTATTAAATGTAGGAAAATTTCCAATCAACAATAAGACGTGGCCCTTGGAATGTATTTGAGAGTTTACAGAATTCAGAATGTCTGAAATCATAAAGTACTGTTTCCATCAGTTGGCGTGTATTCTCTGTCTCCGTATTTGGGTCTGACCTAAGATGGCCGCTCAGTCAGCACGCCTCTCAGTCTTTAAGTCCAGACGATAGCGGCATTAAAAGCTGTGTTCAGTCCTGGTTCTGCTGGGTTTGGACTTTAGCAGAACCATCCAGCTGCTGCCATGAGGTCAGCTCAGCAGATCCACTCTGATAGGAACCACATGGAGGTAGGCTCAGGTTGATGGTCAGCAGGAGTTTATTCAGAGTCCATGAAGAGAAGATGATGAGATCCAGGAGGTCAAAGGTCATCTACACAGACAGAGGGCTTTCACACAATGGATGACTTCCCCTTCTTTGCTCCTGAAAACAGAGAACAGAGACAGGAAGGTGAGGGTCAATAGGATCATCATCATCATCATCATCATCATCATCATCATCATCAGCATCATCATCAGTTTGATTTGGTTGAACGTCCTGAGATGGCGACTGTCACATCTTCTGTTGCTTTAAATAATCTAGTCTAATAATGATAAATAATCAGACTTGTTGACCCCGCCCCCCAGCAGCCCCCTGATGAAGGATGGAGTCCAACCCAGCATCTTATGGGTCGTTAGAACCTGATAAAGAACCCTGAAGCACAGCAGAGGTCATCCAGAAATGATCCCTGCATGTTCTCCACATCTGGTTCTGTTTCAGCTTCATGGTTTAGATTGATCTCTTCCTCTAGATTCTATAATCTACAGCTCTTTAGCTCTACCTGGACCTTTTAATTTGAGATTTTAAAAATCAATAAAGACAGAATGCAATTAAAGCGCTGACCTTTGATGTAGAGGGTGACTGTTTTCTGCGTCAGGATTTTTCCCTGACTGTAGATCTTGCAGGTGTAGATGTTTTTATCTTCATCTGAGGGGTGTTTCAGGGTCAGACTGACGTCTCCAGATTTGAACTTTTTTTCCATGGCAGTCCTGGTTTTATAGAGCCCGTCCTGTTCGTCAGGCAGATCAGAACCGTTCTCATACACATGGACCTTCCTGCCACCTTCATCTGTCCACTCCACCCTAACATCTTCAGACAGGCAAGCTGTGGTCTTGCAGGGCAGCAGGACAGACTTCTTATTATAACCCAATGGAACCCGGTACTCTGAGGGAACAAGAAGAAGAACGTCAGATAGTCTCATGTTTCACTCCTGCCTTAGGTTGGTGGAGCAGATAAGGACCATAGAGCTGAGAAGAGCTGAGTCCCTACTAACCATCAGCATTGTGGGTAATGTAGTTTCTGAATCTTACCTGACATGAAATGCTGACGGAAGCAAAATAAAACCCCTCCAGAGATGCAGAAAACCAGGATACCGAGAACAACCAGCAGAGCTGTGGCCCAAGATGGAAAACCTCCTACAGAACAAAAACAGCAGAACATCTAGAGTCCGTTAAGGTCCAGAGACCAGCAGAACATTGGCGGCTCTCCTCCTCACCTTCTACCTGCAGGGTCACGCTTTCCCTGTGGATTTCCTCCCTGTGGTCCCTGACGATGCAGGAGTAGTTCCCAGAGTCAGACAGCACCAGCTTGGTCAGATTTAGGCTCAGATCTTTATCTGCCAGAGCATCCGTCCTCATGGAGGTCCGGCCTCTGTACCGCGGGTCCTGATCCTGTAGTTGATCTTCTCCCTGCTGACGCCGGTGGACGGTTGAGGAACTGAAGGTCCAGAGGACCGTGGGGTTGGTGACTTCAAAGGTATCGAATTGACAGGGCAGCAGGACAAACGGGTCTCCTTCTTTGGCCTGTAAGGCTGAGACCAGGGCGGGCGCTGAGGACAGAGACAGGTCAGTTCAGGTGGTTTCCATGGCACCAAGTCACAACACGTCATCTCAGGTCCCCTTATAGAAACGGATCAACCAGATCATCCAGTCATTGACCTTATAGGATTCTGTCCTGGATGAGCATGTCAGGATTTGGTGTGGGATTGAGGACCCAAATGCAGAGGCAAGTAGGCAGAGGTGAATTTAAGAGGTTTAATGAGGTTCACAGGAACTGAGACAGGAATCAAAAATCCAACAAAAATAACAAAGGAACCAGAACCAAGGAGACATCAGGGGAAACCAAACTCTAGGAACCAGGGAGAGACGAGGTAGGCAGACAGATGTTAGACGAGGATCCAGCAAACAGGAACTGAAGAGGGAGGCTTTTAAAGGGGATAGAGACAAAGAGAGGGCTAACGAGGGGATTGGAAACAGGTGAGGACAGAGCAGAAAACAGAGCTAGGGATAGAGGACACAAGAGGGCAGCAGAGGACAACAAATGGAAAACCTGGAAGACAGGAACTAATAAGAAAACAACAAAATAAAAATTAAACACTAAAACAAGAAGCAAAGTAAAGCTGAATACTCTAAATAAACATAACAAAACCAAGACTGTGACAGTACCCCCCACTTAAGGGCAGATCCCAGACGCCCTAAAATGTCCAGAAACAACAAAAACAACCCACCCAGGGTGGGAGCAGGGGGAACCAGGAAGAAGGGCACGAAAACAAAACAGAGTCCAAAAAACAACCCACCCAGGGTGGGCGGAGAATTCTGTAGAACTTGAACCAATGAGACCATAGAGGTGATTTGATTGGACAGCTGGACACCCCACTGTCCCTGGAGGACTGAGGTTGGACCTTGGTTCTGCTGCTCTACGGTTCACTCCTCATTTAGAAACATTATGTTCATGGTTTTATGAGCGTCAGCAAAGACAAAGCAGGAAGAACGGCAGAGGGAGGCGGGACCAATGATCCAGGGAGCCAATCAGAGGACAGATCCCTGAGTGACTAACAATACTTTCACTTTAAACCATGAGTCAGTTTTCATGGGAAAATGAACAAAGGTGTCGAAATAACATTTCAGTTTTGGTGAAAGTAAAAGAAAAAGCAACAGAATAAAATAATTTTATTAAATTCCAATATTTTTGAAGAGCGACTCTTCAGTTAAATCGTAGCTGAGTCAGAACCTCAGCGAACCTCTGCTGATCTAAGCAGCTTCCAGAGAGACACAGAAACAACCCAGAGACTGAAGTGAGGATGATGATGAGAGAGGAAGCTGATCTTACCGTGCAGCAGGATCCCAAACACCACCAACATCTTCATCATCTTCCTGTCAGAGAGCAACCAGGAGCAACTAGGAGAACCTTTCAGAGCCCTGGAGGACATCAGCTCCCAGCAGCTGATCACCTCCTGACTCTCTGACAACACTTCACC